TGTGTGGAATGTATATATACCCCTCCTGTCCTACAATAAATGGCTCCTACTCCTGCTGTATCAATCTACACAAGTTGTTCGTCACCACCCCCCCACCCCCACCCCCAGTTATTTTGCTGCAGCCGGACTGCGGCATGGACTAAATCCTCTGAAGCTGTGAGCCAAAATAAACCTTTCCTCCTTTTAAGTTGATATTCTCAGGTATCTTGTCACAGCTATGGAATGCAGACTAACACAACTCCTCTGGATGAGGCAACCCTCCTCCCTAGTACTCATAGCACTTGCTGGTGATGTATGTATCTGTCTCCCAACCCAAATGTAAGCTCCCTAAAGTCAAGGACTGAGGCTTTTTCCATGTATGAATGACTAATAAGACAATGAGTCATGAGTTTTAAGAGCTATATAATAATGATTCCATATGGTTATTAAGAGTTATACAATACTGAATGTGGTATTTAAGTCTTTAGAAATCATCAATGAGAAAAAGAAACATTAACAATACAAATTTAAGTTGGCAAGGAATTAATAATGAAAATTATCAATAGCCATATTTTGATGTGTAACATAATTTTATTTTTAAGTGACTCATAAATCTTCCCTTAGAAAGTGACACACATGGCACTTCTTGATCTTAAAAAGCTTCACTCTGACTACTCAGCAATTTATTTTCCATGGGTTTGCAAGCCAGAGATATTTGTTCCTCAAAACAAAGAAGCCACCCCATAGTTCCAGAACTGTGACTCAAGTCTTTTCAGAGGAAGCTCTGAAAAAACATGGCTCCCTCCCACACTGACATCCAAGACTGTCCATTTATGAGAGAGACAAAGAGCACATCTCAAAACACTGAGCCCGCTCATTCACCAGTGGGAAGAGGAGACTCCAATGTTTCCCTTTGGGGTTGAATTTTTAAAAATGAAAAGCAGTTCCGTGGTCTCTGTCTACGGGCTCTTGTTACAGGAAAACTACTCTTTCTCAAATAATGAAAAGAGAATGCCTTAGTTTTGGGAGGTGAACAGAAGTGAGAAAAGCAATTCTGATCTTATTTCAAATTTTTAAATGAAGCTTTTCCAACTCAAATTTCTCCTGGCCCAAGGGAAAGGGGCAGCCTACCTGGGCTCCGAAGACGCGCTGCATGGCCTGCAGCAGCTGGTTGGTGTAGTCGGTGAGGGTGCCGGCATCTTCTTCAAACACACTCAGTAAAGAGCGAGTCTGCAAGAGAGGGGGCCGAATTGATTTGTCAGTGTCACAGTCACAGGGAGGCAGAAAACACGCGAGCGCATGCACAAGTGGAAATGGGTGGGCAGGGCCTGGGCCGCTTTGCCTTCATCAGTAAAGCCAGCAACAGTGCCTCCTGTCAGGGTCACAGAAGGAAAACCTGTTTTTAGAAAGATTGTGACTGGGGCTGGGGGCCTGGCTCGGGGCTAGAGTCCTTGCCTGGCGAGCTGGAGGCCCTGGGATCCACAGGGACCACAGCACCGCCAAGAATTCAGAACCAAGGGCTATTATCTGTCCTGACTTCAACCCCTACGACATGCCAGTCAAGTCTGTCCAACAGAGAGGGGTCAGGACCGACACACTCTCCTTTCAAGTCTATAAGGCCAGCGCCCCTCTGTGCCCCAGATGTGGCTGCAGGCACCACTGGAGCCTGACCCCCCACAGCCAGCTGCTTGGGTCTGGGTTCTGGCAGCCTTGCAAAGTGTGTCGTCCGTCCCTCTTAAGATACTGCTGCAAGGTCCCCGTTTTTCATCATAGTTTATTCAGCCAACTCTCAAATTCATGGTTAGGAATTTCATGCTGCCTGGGCCCATTGGCGGTAGCTCTGGGCACAAAACTCAAACAGCAACAAGAAGGCCAGCTCCCTGCTTCCAGAAGTCAGGCTCCCAGGAGCTCTGAGAACCACTGAGCTATGCCACTCGCTGGAGGGTGTTTCCGAGTATTTTCATGGTAGTGCCCAGCACACACTAAGCACTGCAATATTGTTTATGAAATATTTACATATAAAATGGTGCACGAACAGGTGTTAAGGCATCACTTAAGAGATATATCTACTCATGGGACTCTTGTGAATGTGCCCTGCTCAGGAGGAATCTGAAATACTACACTAAGCAATAATGGGATTTCCACTTCAGAAAATAACTCATTAGGCAAAGAATAAAATGTAAGTTACAGAAATATCTTTAGAGGTGATACCAAAGTGCTTTACAAGAAACAATTTATTAAGATTCATTACTTCCCTACAAATAAATTTCAATCCCATCTTTTTCTAACCTATCAGTTGAGAGGTTTTCAAGTGGCCTGGGTTGCCACTATGTCCTATCAATCCTAGGACCTCCCCACTGCCATGCACCCACCTACTAGGGCCTGAGCCACCACAGTGCTGCACTACCCCAGGGGCCTGGGGCTGTGGGCTGCCTGCCACCCTCTAGCCTGAATGCAGCTGGGCCCAGACATCCCTGGGCCCAAAAGTCCCTCCATAAACAGAAGTGGAACCTCCTTTTGCTCTACAGACTCTGGGGGATCTCACAGCAATTCACTGAGGTCTTCCAGGATTAAAAAAAAAAAAAAAAAATTCCCTGCTCTGTGACCTACATACTCTCTTTGGTACTAATGCTTATCAATGGAAGCATCACAGCACTGACATGCAGAGACTGTAAAGGAGTGTGTAAAGAGCTCTCGCGGAGAGCAAACTTCATCAGGGAACTCATTCGGTGTCTAGCTCATGTTAGAATTCTTCAAACTTAAAAATCAAACCCCGTGGTATGAAATACATTTCACACTAAGGCCTGCGCAGAGGTTTCACCACACAATGTTTACCCTCAGCATGCATACACTCTTTTTTTTCCTATTTCATTTGTGAACAAAAATCATGGCTGTGACCCACTGGACTTCCTGACGACCTGTAGGAAAGAACACGGATTTGGAATTCCGTATTACATTTCTTTAAGTGATCATTTTTGTCTGAAAAACAAATATTGTCAAAGGACATTTTCAGAACACACGCTGGGAGTCTGTCAGTATTCAGTGGCCTGTGCCTGCCTCCTGCCTTCAGCCAGCATCTGTGCTGGGAACCGAGATTCAAGGTTGAGGAGCAATGACCCCCCACTCTACAGGGGCTCCGGGCCAGCTGGGGCCCCTCAGAGGAGCTGTGACTCACTTGGGGTCCGTCACCCCTGGGTCCACATCCAGGCTCTGGCACTAATTTGCAGAGTTAACAAGATAACTAATGTATGTGAAGTGTTCAGCAGGGCCGAACGAATACACAGGGATGGCAGAGGATGATGATTATGAAGATAGTGAACTTTCAAAAAAATGTCAGGCACTGGCGTGTCACAAAGACAATGGCAGCAGCACTCATGAAGTTACTATGGCATGTAGGCACATAAACCCCTAACAATCTAGAAAGTGGCTTATTTCTATTCTCCCGCTGTTCATGTGCAAACACAAGCTCAGACAGGGTAAATAACTTGCCAGAGGGAACAGTGGAAAACTCAGGATTTGAATTCCATCCTTTCTGTACTACCCTATGCTCTCAGGAGCATCCACAGCCAGAGGAGGGGAAAAAAGCAAGCACCCTAAGGATATAGGCTCAGCTCTGTGTTATTCCCTTACCTCAGTAAAGAAGCAGCTTGTGACCTAATTCAGCCATCCTAGACCTTCTCAATAGCATGTTATTGTGGAATGGTTCAATTTTAATGCCAGAATATTTTTTTAAATTTTTAAGGTTCAAAACAAAGTTCTACTCCCATCATTTGGTGGAAGGAAAGATATTAACTAGTAGAATCATAAGTCTAAGTAAAATAGTGTTATAAATAAAAAGAGCCTCAGGGGCTGGGGCTGGGACTGGGTGGTAGAGCACTTGCCTACCATGGGTGAGGCACAGGGTTCGATCCTCAGCACCACATACCAATAAATAAAATAAAGGCCCATTGACAACTAAAAAATGTAAAAAATAAATAAATAAAAATAAAAAGAGCCTCAGGACAAAACCCCTCCACAACGAAGCCATACAAGGCCACCCAGGTTAAGTTTGGAAGCATCTCATTGGCATCAAAAGAAAGACCTGATTTGGTTGGAGAGGGCTGTTCCCAGCTGGGCCACTCACAGCAAAATCTCAGAACTAAGTCTTTAATTTCTGTTTCAGTGATTCCAATTGCAAAATAATACAACAAACAGTGGGTTGGGATGGTGGCTCAGCCACAGAGTGCTTGCCTAGTCCATGGGAGGCTCTGGGTTCGATCCTCAGCACCACATAAACATAAATAAATAAAGGTATTGTGTCCAACTACAACTTAAAAAAATATTTTAAAAAAAAAAGCACAAAACACTCTCCCCCCAAAAAAAGCAGGCAATAGTTCTTCTGTCTTGGAAATGTATGACTTATAGGATAAGGAAATGGCCCCTTGACAAAGTACAAGCAGCCATGTCCCTATCTTTCACAGCAACATTCACACTGTCCTGGAACTGCTGTACACTTATCTGGCCCTGGAACATACTGTGAGCTGGTGGAGAGCAGTCACACGAATTTCATTTACATCATATTCCTAGCAGCAAGTGGTGGCTGGACAAATGGCCATGGAGTCCAATCTCTCATCCTGGAGATACCCTGCCTCTCATATGGCAGAGGTAAGCAGGGATAATACACTACACACACAGAATAGTTCTAAATACATCAGGCAGCACTGCCAACTAAAAAGGAGGAAATGAATACATGTGTCTAAGGTCAGACGACTTCTATTCAGCATTTCTTGGGTCACTCAGTTCAAACACAAAAGCTTTTGTGCAACCAGGTTACTTAAGCAACCTCACAGTTCTCCTACATAAACCAGAGGCAACAAACAGTAGCTGGTTTCTTAGGATTTTTTTCCTTTTAGTGAAACAAACTTCAGGTTACCAATAACAGAAAAGCCAGGTGCTAGGTAATTGGACTAACTTAAGCAATATCCCTTTAATATACATGCTGCCTAGGTTCCAATCCTGGCTCTGTCACTTTAGAGAGAACAATCTTGGGAAAGTTATATAACTTCTTTGCTCCTTAATCATTTTAAGAGAGACCTAGATTAAAAGACTGTTGGGAGGACTGAGTTAAGAGGGGTAAGGCATTTAGAACAGTGTCCACACATAACACACATGATCTAAGCTTTTGCTATTCTTTTTATTCTTTCCACATAACATGAAAGAGCTGGATTACTCCTTCCACTTCCAAGTCTATGAACCTCCTTGGGAGTACAGCTGTACCAGGCACAAGCTGCATATAAAATACACAAAATATGCTCTAATGATTATTAAAGACCTTCTTAAAGGTAGCTTCCATTCTGTATAGCAACCACATCAAGAACCCTTAATAATAAACTCCCTATATTAAAAGGAACAGAAAATAGGAATCATAATGCCTCTAAACTTCTTTTTTTCCACATAAAAGCTCAAAATCATAAACCTCATAGATAAGACAAGAGTTTAAAGCCTCTAGAGTGCCTTGAAGATCATCTCCTCTGTGTCCCTCATTCTGTAGAGGCTCTGCCGATGAGAAAAACTAGCCAGCCACAGGATGGGGATTAAGTGACTGCCCAAATCACATGGTAAGCTCAGTGTTGGAGCCAGAACGGCAACCCAGGTCTCCTGACTCATTTGCCAGTCTTCTTACTATTCCCTCATAGTGCTGCAAGTTCTTCAAGCCACTCAGTGTGTATTCATTTACGCGACAGCCAAAAATTCAGAATGTGATTTGTCAGTGAGGACAGCACAGGGAATGAGTACAGCTTCTTTAGACTGGCCTGCCCAGAGCCATGTCTGGTTAGGAAAGCAATGTATCTTTGCATCTCAGCGTCCCCAACTACAAAGCAAGTGGAGAACTCGGTTTGCAATGATCACTGGAAATTTCACATTAGGTTTCATTCCCATTCAATTGGTGGGAGGTTGGTGGAAATGCCTCCTATCCTGGGGTCCAATTCAATTTAAAACACCAGAAGTGTAGAGTTGTATAAAAGAGATCTTTGAAAAATCAGTCAGTGGATGCCAACTTGCAAAAAAATAAAAGAAAAAGCCACAGCTTGCTTACAGTGCCCGACTTGCCTGCATAGGAAGGATCACAAAGAAATGCGCACAAAACACAGGTGCACACAGCCCTGTTTACTTATTCTCAGAGGTGGAGATGCAGAGAGCACTAGATAAGTCTCTCAAAGAGTCATCCTGGGTGGTACAATTCACTCAGGAGAGAAAGGAAGGAACCCCCAAAGAGGGAAAACTGGGAGAAAAACTCTTGGCACTAGAAAATAAAGAAACTTAAATAACCCAGGGATGCAGAGCCAGGAAAGGAGATAGGAAGCAAGGGTAGGCCAGGTGGGAGGGTGTCAAATGAAGAACAAAAGCTCCCCAGAGAAAGACTATGAATTAGGAGCTAATGAACTAGTGTCATTTGCACTCATTTGCTATATTTACACACCAGTTTTCACCCCCAAGCTCAAAGGATTCGCATCTCAAGCGTGCTAATGAGGTTCCCTCGCCCGACAAATGGGGCAGGTGTTGTTCATTTTCTCTTCACAATGGAAAACAGTGCCAGAGAGGCTGGAAGAGGGACCCAGCCTCCCTGCTTCCCCTTCTGGACCCTACCCCCCCCCCCCGTTCTGGTCACATCAGCAGAGGTGCTCCGAATGACAAGATGGACTTCTTTACTCTGAACCGCGAACTGTCTGATTTAAAAAACAAAAACTTTACAGGCACCTTCTCATTTAATTCTCCTAACTACCCAGGAGACAGGTACACTCATTCTCTCTATTTGACAGAAGGCAAAAGGCAGGCACCAAAAGGCGAACCGTCTGCCCCGGGCACCGTGCTAACAAGCGAAGGAGCCAGAGTTAGTCCCGTGAGGGGTCGCGACACGGGGGCTTCCGGGGTCCCCAGCCCGCCCCCTCCTCAGGAGGCGCCCCTCCGCGGCCTCGCCCCTGCGGGCGCACGGGACCCGTCGGCGGAGGTACCTGGGGGCTGTCCTGCAACGCCTCCTCCAGCAGGAGCTTGTCCACCGCGGGCATGGCTGGGTCAGGGCGGATGGAAGGACGCAGGGCGCGAGGCGGCAGCCGAGGTGCTCCGGGCTCAGGCTACTCAGCCGACTCTCAGTGCCCGCGGCAGCCCCGCGCGCGCCCACGCCTGGCCAGTGACCGCCGACGCCTGCCAGCCCGCCCACCTCCCAGCCCCGCCCGGCACGGCCCCCAGCGGAGTCGATCAACAGGAAGTGTGGCGAGCGTCCGGCCGGCCGCCGGAAGTGTGGCTGCCGCGCTTCCGACCGCGGGGAGCCGCGACCCTCGGGACCCTGCGTCTCATCCAGCGCTTAATGGGTTAGGGTTCCGCAGTCATGGCCGCCTGTCCCCCTTGCGCGTGCCAGTTGATGCTACAAAACCCAAAAGAGGAACCCGAGTGTGGGGAGATGAGGTTTTATCTACTTGTGGCTACTCAGAAACCCTCTTTCGTCGAAGGAGATAGTAGCTAACAGATTTTGCTGCAATTACTCTCACCACCACCAACTCCCCACGCCTTTTTTTTTTTTTTTTTTTTTTGTTACTGGGGATTGAACCCAGGAGCGTTTTGGTTTTTTTTTTAAACCACCGAGCCTCATCCCCCGCCTCTTTTATTTTTTATTTTGAGACAGGGTCTCTCTAAATTGCTGAGGCTAGTCTTTGACTTGTTATCCTCCTCCCTCAGCCTTCCAAGAGGCTGGGATTACAGGCTTTCGCCAGTGCTCCCAGCCTCATCCCTTTTTTTAAACCGAAGGACAACCCTACAGTTCTCACACCAATTTTGCTCGATAAATCTCATTGCCCTGAAACAGTTCTGAGTGCAGAGAGGTCAGCTAAGTTTAGGAAAAGCTGGATTACTATGACTCATCTGTGATAGAGATAACTAGTCTTGGAAAACAGCTCTTTGGTTTAGGCCATGTAATTAGGTCTCCTTCTGCTGGTTGGTTTTGTCTTTTTGGAGAATTTCATCAACGAATTTTTGGAATGGGAAGGAATAATCTAGTTCAGAGTTGTCATTTAGAGATGAGGAAACAGATTCCAGAGAATTAAATGATTTGGTTAGGATCATTAGAGTGAAGCTTGCCAAAGAAGATAAGGAAGCCAGATGGGGTGGGGAAGGTTGGCAAAGGGATCTTATCGTCTCTTTTTGTCAAAGGCAAGGGTCTCTGAAGTTCCTTCTTTAGGAATCAGTAAGACTTATCCAGTAGAAAACATCACCAAAATCAACAGGAAGATTATGATGCCGTACAATTTCTATATTCTGCAGAAGCCACCTTGGTATGTTGAGAGAATCTGCATGTTGAGAGAATCTTCAATCTCTGAAGGTCAGTGGCATGCTGCTGTCACTCCCTTGGTAATGGCTAAGCCTGTCCTGCGCTACTTTATGGCCTCCATTGACCATCTTTCCCCCCATCATATTCTTTCTTCCCTGTAGGTGGAATCATGACCGCACTGTTTCTTCCTTTTCCTCCATTTCTACCAAGTACCATTCAATCAATTTTACCTCATGTAATCTTACAAATTCTCTCGTGACCAAAATCCTCTTCCTCAAGGCCAGATTCGAGTTCTTCCTCCCTTCTGATTGTAAGAACAGTGTGAGGATATGATTATGCCAATTATATCCTTTTCATTGGAAAATAGACATTAAAAGGAGACAGTGCTGTTCAGAAGCTTTGAAAGGGCTCAGATGTTCCCTTGGGGGTTGCCATAGTTTTCATGAACCATCCCATCTTCTAATTAAAATCACCTTTCCTTGAACAGCAATATTCAAAGTTACTCAGATCGTATTCTTACAATATTCCAATCCTTTTTACTTTTCTACATTTTATTGCTTCATTATGAGCTAAACAGCCTTTGTGGGATTTCTTGGTACTTAAGTACCCATTATAACATTGCTTCTCTGGGAAAATGTATCCCAAATTCAAAGTGACTAAATTATAAAACAAATACTGGGACTATAACACATTTATAAATTCTTTTCATTAATTATTTCATCCAGTCATTTGTGTAATAGATGAAAACGTTCAGTGCCGCCACTTGCACTCACTTTGCTATCTTTATTACGAATTATGTAAGAGGAATCTTTAAGTATAAACATGAAAAATTTTAAATGTTTCATAAGAAGTATCTGTCCCTATAATTTTTAAAGGTTTTACAAAACGTGTCTGTCCCCCACCTCCGACTGTGTCTGAAATTCCTGGACAGATAGAGGGCTGGAGACAGGAAGTACAAAGATGAAATTACTGTCTGGAGCCACCGTGACCTGTGGGAAGAGAGGATGAGCTCTGTGGACCATCGGGGAGATGGAATAGTAAGGCACAAAAAGATATCCAGGAGGCCCAAGTTGGAGAGGTGCTTCAAGAATGAGTGGGAGCAAAGACCCCTGTTTTGAGCAAATTGCTCAGCCAGTAGGCCATGGGCACAGATCTTTCTTCTGCCTGCAGTGACCATTCTCTTGCTTCATTTCAGACAAGCCCAATTACAGCCTGCAAATCCCAGCTTAGGATGACCATGTGTGTGTGTGTGTGTGTGTGTGTGTGTGTGTGTGTGTGTGTGTAAGAGAGACAGAGACTTTCATTCATTCTTTATGCTTTAGTCACACTTGACTAGATAATTCTAGAAGGACACCTCTATTTGTTCCCACCCCAACTTTCCAGCTAGAGTGTTTATTTCTATACTCACAGTGTCTTGTGCCTTATCCAACACATAAGCAGTTGCTTGAGAAATGCTTATTAATGTACCACAGATGTCATTATAACTAACACATGGTTAGGACTCCGCAGTTTGAAAAGTGTTTTCGTGAATTTCTTTCCATTTGATACCACGATGCTGGGAGTTTTCTAGTCATAAACTTGCTGTCTAGTACCTCCTGTGCACCGGGCTCTCCTCCAGAAACTCTGAATGTAGCCGGAAGCTCATAGAAGTCCCTGCCCTAATGGAGGTTATATTTAAATAGGGGAGAGAATAAAAAATAAAAACAAATTCATAAGTATATTATAATGTTTAGTAACAGGATAAAGGATTGTGGGAAATGGAGTAAGCAGGAAGAATTCTCTGAGAGACCGACATTTGGGCTGAGAATTGAATAAAGCAAGTGAATAAACCAAGCCCGGAGGGAAGAGCAAGTGCAAAGACCCAGAGGCGTCTCAGTGTGAGGATGAGCAGGAAGGCCAGCAGCCCTGGAGTAGAGTGAGCAGGGAAGAGTGGGAGGGTATGGGGGTGGGGGATGCCAGCCTCCAGGTCACAGAGGACCCTGTGTCCACCGGAAGGACTTTGGGTGGTGTTCTGGATATTGTAGAAAACTGCTGAGTGGCGAGGTCTGATTTACGCTTTTAAAGAATTTCTCTGGGTTCTAAGGGGCTATTGCAATGATTCAAGCAAGAGATTATGAGGTCTGAGTCAAGGTCTGGGTTAGTGGTAGAAATGGTGAGAGGCGGTGAAAACTAGACACGTCTTAAAAGCACACCTGACAAGCTTCACTGGCCTAGGGGTGGGGGAAATAGAGCAATTGGGTGAAAGGCCCTGGGATTTACTGAGATAGGAAATGTTGGGGAGGAGCAGGTTGGTGGTGGCATCAACCATTCTGTTTGGGCCAGAGCACTCGAGATGCCTTTTAAACCTCCAAGTACAGGTGTCTGTGGTACTTGGGTGCACCACTGCAGAGTCCAGGGGGAGACCGAGGCAGCATGTGGATGACATTTAATCCACCAGAGTAGAAGGAATTTCTTAAGAATTGAATGCAGATAGGAAAGAGCAGAGATTGTAAGGGTCCGGCGGAGTGTCAGAGAAAGAGACCACACAAGAGACTGGCTCCATGCAATTGGCAAAAGGGGATTTATTAATTCAGCATACTGAGGTTCCAGGCTCACTCAGAAGATAGAGCAGCCCAGAGCCCAGAGCAGAGGTCAAGCAGAGCTTAAGTACACTTTTTGGAGAGGGCAGGGGCAGGGGGCTTTGCATACATCAGAAAAAATCATCATGAGGCATGGGAAAATTGAACAACAACTCCGAGACATGATTAGTACATTTATTGGCAGGAACAGGCTGGGCAGGGGTGATTGGTCACTCCTAAGCGGGGTACACATTCAAACTGATTGGTTTTGGGGCCTGGTTGCCTACATGCCGAGCTACTTGGAGCCCTTAGCTATTAAACAACCAGGGAACCAGGAGAAATATTTACTGGGCAGTTCAGGTATTGTCCTAACAGCTACAGGGATTACAGGTTCCGGGGGGTAGCAGAGGAATTTTAACAATACCTGGTCTTTTACTCTTTAGCCCAGGCCTTGCAATTTAGAAGCTTTACAATGCCTAGTCTTTTACACTTTAACTCAGGCTTTTGCAGCTTAGAATCAGCTTAGAAATTTTCCTTTACAAGATCAGAAGACTGAACACGTATAAGACCCAGTAACTAATGAGGTAGGAGGAGGATTAGGAAACTCACACCCCATCCTAGAAGCTATATACAAAGGAAACACCATCCTAAAGACAGTCAAGGAAGTGTTCAAAAAGAATTGACCCACAATGTCAAGGTCAGCAGAAAGGTCAGCTCAAGAGGAGGACTGGGGATGGACCTTGGGATTTGCTGTTGGTCTTTGGTGAGTGGTGAACCTAGTAAGAAACTTTGACAAGAACAGTTTCATTTGAAAGCCAGATGGTATGTGTTCAGGAACAATTGAGGGAAGACAAAACTTACTTCAAGAGATTTTTCAATAAAGGGGTGATTGGAAGGGAATTAACTGCAGGGACGATGAGCAAATGGGAAATTTTTCCTTTGTTTGCTTGTTTTCAGCAAAGGGATGCTGCAGACTTTGGGCAAGTTGTTTTATTTGGGGGATTAAGCATGGGGCACTCCATCACTGATCTACATTCACAATCATTTTTATTTTTTTCTTTGAGACAAGGTCTCCCTAAATTGCCCAGGATGGCCTTAAACTTTCAGTCCTCCTGCCTCCTGCCTCCACCTCCTGAGTACCTGGGATTCCAGAGGTGCCTCACCATGCCTGGCCTTTCTGAGTCTTGATTTACTTTCTCTGAGATGAGCATAAAGGCACAAGCTATTTCCATTGGCACTTAGCTAGCCGTCCCATATCAATCAGAACTTTTTCAGCTGTAAATGACACCACCTCTTAGTTTTGTAAGGAAAAGAAAAGGCAGGGAGAC